GAAGAACTGGCTAGGAACTACGAGACGTTGTATGAACACTATCTCAAATTGACTAAGGAGAAAGTCAAGATAGAGGCTCAAGTACTTGAAGCACAAAAGTATGCAGTTCAGAAAGAAGATGAAGTAACTCAAGCTAGAGTTCAGCTGGAAGAGACACAAAAGCAATTAAGGATGCTTAATAATGATACAAATCAGTTGGATCATCTTTTGAATATTGGGAAAAGTCCTATGGAGCGACATGGTCTTGAATTTAATGGGGAATCTTCAAATACCATAACTGTTTTTGTGTCTGGGGGAAGAAGAGAGACTGCAGCTACATCTGCTTCAGAGCCAAAGCCAGAGTTACTATAGGGACTACTGCTGCTATGAAGACTGCAACTACTACGAAGATTGTAACTGCTACAAGGAAATTTTTAGAATTTCAGAGTGCATCTCAACGAGTTTTTCGACATGTTTGTCATCATTGTGGAGTTGCTAGGCATGTTAGGCTAAGATGTTATAAGTTATTGAGGGAGAATCATCGAAGGGAGCAAGCTAATGATGGGAGATTTCGTGATCCTACATGTTATCGTTGTGGAGTTAAAGGACATGTTCAACGTCAGTGTTTCAGAAATATTCAATGGTTTTATGATGAAAGTCCAAGGTTCAAGAACGGTTGGGGTAGGAAAGATGATCTCTATCGAGATGGTGTGATGGGCTATCAACTTCGCCGATTTGAACGGGGACGATCTTTGAGTTAGTTTTTGACCATGATATGACTCAAGTAGAGGGAGATTGGTGTTGTTAGCGTTCTGGTGTTATTGATGAAGATATCATTGCAGTTATAAGTGTTGAGTTCACATACATAGTCAAAAAGGGAGAGATTGAAGAGGAGTTGCTTTGGAGTTTTTCCTATACCAGTCAATTGTACTATAGAGGGTACTACAAGAAGTGATACAGAAGTTGAGCTGTGCAATTTGTGAAGGGGAGTTCGAATATGGAGATGCACAAGCATGGTTTGGGTTAGAAAAAGAAAAAAGATATTTACTTGGAGGAAAGGAGAAAGATATTCCAAGAATATATTTGAAGAGAAAAATAAGGAAAAGATAACAACAAGGAAGGAAAGTGTCTTAGGGTTTTGGAAAGGTTCTCTATATGCAAATATATAAAGGCACGGTGGCTGGAGGCTCTCTACGCCTCTTAGAAGAAAAAGAGAGATAGATTGATTGAGAGAAGAAGGCGTCT